TATTATTATTATTATTATTGTGGTGTAGCTCACATATCATGCACCTTAAGTTATCTGAAAAGTTAACAGTTAATCTATCTACCTAATAAGTTAATTAGTGTCACTGCTTATCTTGAGTAATAAAGCAATTAAAAAAGCAAACATGATAGTGGAATTTGAACTTGATGTTGCTATGTTCAAACTAAAAGTAAAACTAAAGTTTCTGTGTGTGTACAAACTAAAAGTAATGTGAATGGAACAGTGCTCTTCCTCTTTTCAAACTGCCCTGAAACACTGAGACCTTTAATTAAGACACAAAGGCAAATAAGAAGTGCAGTGGAAATGCTGCAGCAATCAGCTGCAACTTGCCTGGACGAATCCAGACTCATCGCTGTACCAGCGGCTGAATATATGGAGCTGTACACTGTAAACCCGAATTAGTAATCATTACTTAAACTCCCAGGGTAACCCGTTGCAACGAGATGTTGAGTTTTTGCAGAAACAAAAACTAAACAAATCAAGTTTTCACAACACACAATTTTGAGTGCAAGAAAACAAATACTAACAAACTAAGATTGTAACTACTAGTATTTACAAGTAATTAACTTACAAAAACTAATGTTTATTAGTAACTAATAATTATCTTTTTAAGCAATTATAACTTTCTAAACACATTCTGGTTGCCTTGTTTTATTACAATTTTAATACTAGTTAATTATGGTGTTTATTACTGATCTTTTTAAGAAAACCAAGCACAATAAGTTTCTTTTGTTTATTGCAAAAATAATGCATTCAACTCTGAATACAGTTAACATTGTACAATACAACAGTCTTAAACATTGCTGTAACTTTACCTTTTAATTAAAAGTGCCATTTTAAAACACTGTTCTAAAAGTTTTTTTTCTCATGTAAAAATCAAGGCAATGGCAGCAAATCAAATAAATTTACAAACTAAAAGTCAACTTTTAGTTTGCGTTTTAGCCACCAACATACAACAAAAATAAAATACATATGTTGGATTTTACAAACAGTTTGAACCTTTACCTTGTGTATTGCACAACACAGTATATAGCAGCATAAGTTTTTTTTTTTTTTTTTTAAACCATTTACCAGCAAAACTACAAATTAGGTAAAAAAAAAAAGTTCTGATCAAAATATAATTGTAATAACTAAAGGAAAAAAGTTTTCAAACAAATTAAGATCTTTTTAGTTCAATCTTTTATAAAGTGATACTTTTATATGAAGTAAATGGTTGCTTAATCACAAAACTTATGGAACTAAAACCATTCTTAGTTGAAACTGATTTGGAACAATAAGCTAGTCACAAATGGCTTACACTTGTAGTTGGTTTTTCAGGGTTTGAATTCTTGACCTCAACTCAGTGTTTCCCAAAGAGAAGAAAACCTGCTGAATGAACAAAAGTGTATTTCGGAACCTTTTAGGATAGTCGAGATGCAGTCCGTACGTGAGACCAAAAAGGAGGCAGATAGTCTCTGGGAGGTTGGACAAATTGTCCATTACAACTTGACCCTCAATGACAATTTTTAGACTTGAAGGTCGAAGAGATGGGGATCCACTTTCTTTAAAGAGCATCAGGATTCCAATGTCAGTTTGATCGAAGGACTCATCGCCGTCCTACAATAAAGAATAAAGTAACTAAATGGTATTGTTTGGTTCCAGAGCAATGCGTCGTCTCAACATTCACTCTTTGAAATTTAAAATGTAGCTAAGAAAATCATTTGTGGAATATAAAACCTATCCTATAGAGCAGTGATTCTCAACCCCTATGAGTAGGGCTGAGCAATTTGGTGATAATTGAAACATGATCTCAAATCTGTGACAATCTGCTTTTTTGATGAAATGGTCATATCGTGATTTCACCTTTTTCTCAGTTTAATGCAGCTCTCTGTTCAATTAGAGACCATTTTTACCATCCCGTTTGCCCACCCTTACCTATGAGGTAAGGGCGAAAAGAGTTCTGATGGTCCCCAGAAGGTATGAATGAAAATTTTAAAATGATATGTCTTAAAGAAGGTTTTTATATGGAGTGGCAAATGTAGATTCCCATTTGAAGGCTTACAAAATTAATTAATCTAGGCCTGTATTCTTAAAATAAAAAAAACATAAAACATAAAGCTACTTCAACACTTCGTTGTAAACCTGCATTTTATGTTTGGGGGTCGTGAATGCCTAAAGTTGTTATTTTAGAGGTTAAGACTGAAAAAGTTTGAGAACCACTGCTAGAGAGGAACAGAGGAGTGTTACAAATTCAAAAGTACATTTAACAAAATATACAATTAATACTGCACATGGGTGAATAGGAGTATAAAGAAGCGACAGAGCGAGACAGGAGCGAGAGACAGAGAAAGAGCAACAGAGAAAGAGTGACAGAGAAAGTTAGCTAGGCAGAGATATAGTTGACAAGATAGTAAGAGTTAGAAAGATAGCAAGAGAGACAAGACATAGCTAGGTAGTTAAAATGATTTTGCGTTAAAGAGCCAAATAGAGAAAGAGACTGATAGTTAAAGAGATGGAGAGAAAAAGTTGGCTAGAGAAAGATAGATGGTTAAAGAGATAGAGAAAAGAGCCAGAGAGTTAGGGTAAGAGAGTTAAATTTATATACGAGTTAGAAAACCAACTAGAGAAAAGGAGATGAATAGAGTAAAAGAGACAGAAAAAGAGTTAGCGAGATAGTTAGAGATGGTTAGAGATATAGAGAGATGGGGAGTTTGAGATACAGCTAGACAAAGACACAGAGAGATAGCAAGAGAGTCAGAGATAAATGCATAGAAAGAGTTGGAGATGGCTAGAGCAAGAGATAATCAGAAACAGGGAAAATATATGGCGCTAGAGAAAGAGCTAGCCAGAGAGAGAGAGAGAGAGATTGAGTTAAAGAGAGTTGGAGATGGCAAGAAATAGAATGAGAACTTACAAAGCTTGCTTTGAGAAACTCCTCAGGATGGTCTCCTAGAACATGAGGAAGTCCTTGGAGCGCCACAGTGCGTTTTTCTGTTGGATCTTGTGACTGACAGATAAAAAAAAGGTTAGTATTGATTGCAATCTTTATTTCGCTTATCGCTTCACCCTAAAGTCATTACCTGCATTTGTTCCAAAAGTGAGGACAATTTGGCACCCACAGTTCCTTTTTTGCATTTAAACATTTCCAGACGACGGGGGGGTATGCAAATCAAGAGAAGAATAAAACCCCTGCTTCAAGTCCTTTCCAACTATTCTTCTGAACTCTAGGCAAATCTAAAAACACACATACAATGAGCAAACCATACTGAAAAATAATAGTGAACCAAGAAAATGTTACGATTTACCTGTTCTTGTGAAAACAGAGCTGGCCAGGGTTTCATGAGAACGCCAACTGGTGGTGCTGTCCCCAATCCAACTCACAGGTCTTAAAGTGCTGTTTTAAACGTCACCAAACAGAGAGAGATCATAAATACATTAACATCCGAAGCTGACACTAAACATTTAGCCAACTAATATTACATTTCGTAAGTGGACAAAAATACTGTACATTAATATTGAATTTACAAATCCCAACAAATAAAAATAATCAATGTTATTTGCAAAAATGTAATTCCCCGAGCCCTACTCTCATGAGCCACTTTAGAACAAGAAAACGCATACAAGCTCAAGTGTTTAGGTTTACGTCTGTCGATAAGACGCCCTGCCCAAGATGGCGGCCGCATTTCTCGCGCTCAGACAGCCTGTTCGGAGTCTACTCTTTATATGTAATAGAGCAAATCTACACACACTCGCTCCCTCTCTCCCAGAGAGCGCAATCAGTGTAATGCTAGTAGTACAACTGCACCGAACTCGACTTTAACCCGCCTCGCAGTCAGTGTACGGGAGGCGCAGCTCTTCCGGACAGAACTTTCTCGTGCGGCCGCTCTGCTCCGGTGGCTGCGCGCACTTGTCACATTTCTCCCCCGTTTACCTCACACATGCCCCGACACCGTAGCGAACACTTAAGCGCTGGAGAGAGAGACGAGCCGTGTCTACAGCTGTGTGCTATATCTGACCATGTAAATTAAGTTTTTGCCTGCACGGCTGCACCAAAGACGTGTTGTTTAATGGCGGGCGTAGATCACATAAAGCTACAAGCGAACACAGCTAGCACAGCTAAAGTACAATTAAGTACCGGATATTTTAGTTCAAGATAACTCCAAAACGTTTTGCATCAAAATACAAGTTTACAGCATGAAGTTGAGCGCTTGCAATTTGTATTTCCACGCCATGCTGCCACGCTCAATGCTAACGATGATATTCGGGGCTGTAGTCGTTTCGCAGCAAAATGCATTTTATAACTTCAGCTGTGACTCTTTGGGCGAATTTAGACATCAAAAGACACATAAGACGTAATGTTAGCAGTGAAACATCTGTGTACTTACCAAGTCAGACACTCATTCAAAAGGACCGTGATTCTGCCGTCTTCTCGGCTGTTCAGCTCACAAGCCCCTCCCACCGCGTATAAAACCTAAACACCTGAGCTATCACCACTTAGAATGAATAGTGCAGGCAGATACCTGATTATATGAGCATTTACTACTTGTTTACTTTAGTAATGGTCCCGCCTTTGTAAAAATATGAAATTATAAGCAATGATAGCTTGATTTGTTATGCTGAAAAAATAGTGGGGTTTACAGTGTATAACAAATACAGAGAAATATCCTTCTGGATTTCCAGGCAAAGCTGCAACAGTTTGCTGCAGTAAAACTTTAATTTCCCTCAGGATCGATAGAGACTCTCTCTCTCTCGCAAACATGATAGTGGAATTTGAACTTCATGTTGCTGTGTTCTTGTTGTAGTTTAAATATTCATAAGTAAAATATAGCATATTCAAACAGTGACAATTTTTTGTGGGTATAGTAAAGAGGACAGCACTGTCTCAAAATCTTCAATTGAAAAGTATAGTCAAAATGAACAAAAATATGAAGAGAAAATATGACTTATTTTGACAAAAGTACAGATAACTCAAAGGGTTTCCCAGAAAACATGTGATCACGACAAATGACCACTCCCTCTGACAAAATTAAAAGCGAAACCCTGTGACTACCAGACCGAGTGAACCAGACTGCAGAAACAAAACTGTGCACTCAGGATTAAACAGTGACATGGAGCGTAAGTAGAAATTTTGTACCTTTTTGGTGCTGTGATTATTTATTATTATTATAATTATTATAATAATAGTTATTATTATTAATAGTAGTAGTAGTAGTAGTAGTAGTAGTAGTAGCCGTAGTAGTATTTTTCCCATAAGCAGCAAATATCTGCAGTAGTATTTAATGGCAAAATATATGTTTTATCTTTTTAAAAAATGAACCAATAAGGATTGTGTACTGAAAAAAACTTGAGCAGGAAAACGCAGCTGGGCAAAAGTCATTTCTGGAGAGGAAGGAAAGTTTTAAGAGAGAAAGTTTTAAACTGTGAAACAAAACCAAAAGCATAAATGATTTGATCGACACTTCAGGTTTATCCAATACTGAGCTGAGTTGAGACATTCAGGTGTATGGGTTGATATGATAGTTTACTGAAACATTCCCAGAGGCTCTGACATTACTTTAATCAGTCTTTTTTCACAAATTACGTATTATATCATATCACTGATAAGACATTAGCCTTCTTGAAATTTTGTTGACTTTTGTAAATTTGATTACTTTAATTAAAATCATAATCATCCAGTGTGTGCAATAACTACATAAATAAATAAAAATATTTCTTTGGCCATATCGCCCATTCCTGATCAAAAAGTAGTAGTAAAAGTAGTTCATTTTCATTTTTGTAGTAGTCCAAAGTTATTCCTCACTTACTTTACGCATTCTGAGAACCCTAATTATTCACTGCAATTCACTCAGATTTTCTAAGTGCTTTTCACAGTGGAGTTTTTCTGTCACAGTAAAGCTAACAGCAACTAGCATGCTAACTCGCACTTCTTCATTATAGCACAATATGATTTTGATGTTAGGAGCTGCTTATATACAACATCTGTCACAGGGCAAGAATTTCCCCAGATAAAAAAATCTGGTACAGGACCGTTGAGAGAAGGCAAAGAGAAATATTAGGTCAACCTATATGTCTGTAGTGTTGTGAAACGCAACCTGTTTTATTCTGTTCAATTAATGAGTTTCTTCTTATGTGCAACATTGTGAGGACTTTTTAAAATATAATGTTTTGTATAATTGTTAATCGCTATGGCAATAGTCCTAATTTTTCAAACCTGTGGATACAACTTCAAATTTTGTGTCAGGCATAAATACTCATAAATAATTCTTTCCATCATTTCAGAACAAGAGACAAGGATTATTTTACTGGGAAAAACTGGATCAGGAAAGAGCAGCCTGGGCAACACTATATTTGGAGAAAAAATATTCAAAGCCAAAAGTTCACCAAAGTCTGTGACCAGTGACAGTAAGTTTGATAAAAAAGTGATTGAAGGTAAAACCATTCGTCTGATCGACACTCCGGGTGTTTTTGACACAGACCAAAACAAATCTGATCTAAGTGAGAAGTTTTATAATTGTGTAAAAGACTGTGCCCCTGGACCCCACGCATTTCTGCTGGTGCTCGAAGTTAAGAGATACACTCAACAGGAGAAGGATGCAGTCAAAGAAACACTGAAATATTTCTCAAAAGAAGCTCTGAAATTCACCACTGTGGTCTTCACTCATGGAGACCAGCTGGAGGACGAGAGGATTGAGGATTGGATTAAGGACAGTGAAGCTCTGTGCGACCTGGTGCAGAAATGTGGAGGTCGCTGTCATGTGTTTGATAATAAATACTGGAACAACAGTCAGGACCCATACAGGAACAACCAGTATCAGGTCACAGAGCTGCTCAAGACCATCGAACAGACTGTGGAGAAGAACGGAGGAGGATGCTACACCAATGGCTTCTGGCAACATATTAAACACATGAAAATAAAAGGGGTCCCAATAAAATACCTGTTGTTAGCTTTACTTGGTGGAGCAGTGGCTGGAGGAGCTGCTGTTGTTGCTAAATTGGTATTTGATGCCTCATGGGCAGTTACAGCAGCAGCGGGCATAGGGAGCGGTTGTGCAGCAGGTGCAGTGGGTGCATATGTTCTGGCACCAGAAGAAGTGGGTGCAGTGGTTTCTAGTGCAGGCAGTGAAATGAAGAAGGTGACAGAAAATGCAGTGAATAAAGTCCTTAATTTACATAAAGTATCAGGTAGTTCCTGCATGCTCGAGGCAAACAAATCAAAGACAAACTAACAATCATATGAAAGGAAATAGTCCACTCTTGTTTTTTATAGTAACCACACTGACTTTATGTGATTCACTCATTGTAATCTGTAGTGCCATCATTAAACAGGTGTAGTTGGAGGGGAAGCTTGGACAAATGGAAAACTTTACTCATAACACTATATTATGATTATTTGTGTAAATGAATACCAAAATTGTGTATAACATGATCATAATCTCCTGCCTCTGTACTATTTAATCAAACACACATTATGTAGAGTAAAAATTTAAAATAAAATTTAATTCATTTTTATTTTATTTAAATTTATTTACATTTTCATTGACCCTGTATGAATAGAAACTACTCACACTATTAGCCACAGTTACTTTGAGATCATTGCCATATAAAACACAATTTTTCCATTTTCAGCAATGTTATCATGTGACACCCAGGCAGTAATGAGATTTCTAGACTTCACTTTATTCATAATCAATGAATATAAATCATGTTCATCACTTTGGGACCATAACAGTTCAGTTTCTACACCTATAGTCATGAACACATGTTTATATAGTTGTTCAGATGAAATGTATATTAATCCTTTTTATATTCTTACTCTTATATGCAGTTTTAAACTGTGGATGTTTATTGGGACACTTCTGATCTATGCTTTTTCAATACTGATGTTATGGCGCAACAATGGAGGGACCCAAAAATGGACTTCAGACCGGTTAAAAAAAATGGAAAAGGAGAATTTATTTTACAAAGGGCAAAATGAGGGCAGAAGCAGGGCTTGGAGGAGGGCAGGAGGAGGGCAGAAGCAGGGCTTGGAGCAGGGCAGAAGCAGGGCTTGGAGTAGGGCAGAAGCAGGGATCACTGAAGGGCAGAGAACGCAAGTAAGAAAAATGTTTGGCAAAAGGCAAGCAGCAAAAACGTAGAATCTAGGAGCCAAGAGGTTCACCGCGTGCAGGTAGGAACAATCTGGCAGAGTCTCACAGGTGAGCAGGTGTCAAGTAGTGGCTCTTGATTGCTTGCAGGTGCGATGAATCAGGACCAGGAGACTCCGCCCAAACACACACACACACACAGGGAGGGGAGCACCAGCCATGACAACTGAGGTCTCAATAGTACACCAATGCTACGCTGTGGGACATGCAACAACAAATGACACATTACACACAATCAAAATCAGTCTTCATTTGGATGTTAGATCTAAACTTTAAAGGGCCTATACTACACTCTTTTATGATCTATGTGATAATGTTGTTTCCTAATAAAAGTTATAGCTGGACTTGTGTTTTGTTTCATTCACACATGTTGAACACACAAACCCTACATATTTTGGCTGAATTCTTCTCTCACGCAGAGAACACTCACCTTCACCTTGTGATGTCATGTGGTAATACAGGAAATGCTCCACTGTGTTTTTAAGCTCCATACACCTTCACTAGATTCATTTTGATCATTTCAGCTTTGGAATTGAGTATCTGTATGAACTAAAGGGAAAAGCTGTTGACTTGGGTGTTGTTCTTTTTCTTTGTCTGTATAAAGTGTTAAAAGCCATACTATTCTTTCTCTAATCCTTTCTCTCACAGGAAGACTCTAGATACTTTTGGGTTTGCGATTTACATGTCTGCTGTTTATTTCACATGCTAAGTGTTTGATCATCCTGACCTGTACTCAGATGCTAATGTAAAGGTGTTAATTAAAGGTGTTACATTGCTGAGCTAAGAAAGCCAAATGGCCGGCCAGACTGACCTAAATGCAAACTGTTCTTGGGGCAGTGCTTGGACCTCAGAGAGTATTTAAGTGTTGTTACCCCATTGCTCTGGGCTCACTGCTATCAGAAACTTTGTCTGTCAGTAATGGGACTGTTTGGTGCAAATGTAATAAACCAATATAGACAGTCTTTTTGTATGTATTGATATTATTTTACAGATAATTTTCACAACACTTGAAAACTACCAACATATGACATCACTACATTCTAACATGCTTAAAGAGTCAATGTTGCGTAATATAGGATCTTTAAGTAATTTTAAGTGTCTGATACAAAAAAGACTGGTTATAACTGAACAAGCAAAAATGATTCATTGGGGAACAATGTTGATTATTCCACTAAATACACTCGTCTGTTCATCTGTAAAGCACCAAACACTGATGTTAGAGAAAGAGCATACATCATCATTAGATTTATTGTGACTGCTGGTGTCAAAAGTCTGCAAAAACATTTATGACTGTGAGTTATAAAAAACATTGATGTGTTCTTTGAAAATATTATAAAAGTGAAACCACAAAATGTTTCAAGCAATACTCAACCAACATTATTAGTAAACAGTAAAATGTATGCTTAAATAAAGAAATGAGCATGTGTAGTTAAATGTTTATTGCAAAAGAAAATGTAATTCTGAAGACAAATAATATTAAAATTTGCATTTGATTTCTTCATGTTGAATTTGTGCATTGTAATTTATACTAAAATAATAAAAAATGAAATGAAATAAACATTTATGTGTAATAAATATAACATAACAGTCAGTCAGTGTTTTTTTCACCACTTGAATTTTCCTGAGAATGGACCTACAAAGTGAATAAAGTTTGTTTTAGTCTCATTAAAATAAAATACAGAATCCATTATAGAACTCATAGTCCAGATTTCCTCACCTTGTCCATCATTTTTCCGGCGTCTGTTTCGGGGCAGAGTCACGTCCAGACGGTACAAAGATTCTGCAGTTTTTAGGATCTCCTCCAGTTTACACTGCTCCTCACAGTCCTGCAGAGAAACAGAAAAGTCAACTATAGATTGAGCTATTCCCTTTTTCAGATGATTTCACAGCCTTATATCAGTCCAAAGGTGGAGTATTAGACTTTATTCTTATGAGTAAATGTAGTTTATAGTAAAGGCAGCACAATTTGTTACAATTATGTTATCGGTTTCCTCTCTTCAAACTGCCCTGACTGAGGCTGTAAGAGGTATGCAACTGGGTTTGAAGTTTAAATATTGTTTTCTAATCATATGAAATTTAGTTTACCTGTGTGTTTGATAGAAATCGGTTCCTCCTCTCCCTCTTTGCACTGCTGTTCCGTGAGCTGATTTCTTCCCTCCCCTCTCTCCCTCTCTCTTTCTCCCCCTCTCTTTCCCTCTGTCTCTCCCTCTCTCTCTCCCTCTCCTTCTCTCTCTGCTGGAGGATGGTCTGACGTGTGGCTCTGTACTCCAGTGAGAAGTCACTGATAGTTTTGCAGAAATCCTCTGCTCTCGTGTCCCGGACCATAGATCGAGAGTAGCCCAAAAACAACAGGAACGAGTGAAACCTGCAGACACACACACAGAGGAGAGACATGCACACTCAGAGACTCCACTGTTAATCTAAACCACTAAAATATTTTACTGTAATTTTTGTCAGTGCCATATTTTTGCTGAAACTCCATAAAAGCAAGATAAAAGTGATGGGAAAAAAATGGTATCACCCCCGTGTTTACATTTGTCCTAGATAAAAAGAACAATGACGCCAAAGGAGAAGCTGCAGTTTAAAAAAGCAGTGTGACAATGTGAAATAAAGAAAGAAACAAAATAAATATATACACTACAATAAAAAAGAGGATGGCAAAACATGTGAACTTAACTGAACAATTTACTTCAAAATTATGTCAAAATCTTATGGAATTTTTGTCTTGACCCGTATAGAAACAACCCTTTCCACCTCTTGATGACCCTGTGCTTTGAAGGTCTCAAATTTTAATTTCAATGACACCACAATGTGACGTTTCGGGCCAAGCCATTCTTCAGACATGAAAGATTAAGTACCACACATGTTATAAATAAACCCAGGTTTGATCACTTGACCTACCATGTGACTACAGTATATATCCAGGATGCCTCTCTTTTTATTTATGCATACATGGGCGTTAAACAAATAAAACAACCTAGTCGAAGTGGTGATGTGAACTCCACTCCTTTAAAAAGAAAGGCATTCTAGATATTCACTCTGGGGACTCTTGCTCAAAAAGGTCTCAATGAAGATTTTGACCTAAGTGTTTTTGTAACTTAAAATGTTGACATAATCATCACTCCTGTCTGTGGCTGTATGTGTGCCAGTGCTGATGTAAATATCATGGTCTTGTGATAGAAATTCAGATTGTGGAAAGATTTCTCTCAATCTGTCTTTGTGTAAATTAATGTGATTTTGACCTGAGACCAGACCGCCACAGGAAAATATTGATTATGATTGATTAAATTAAAATAGTGATTAGTTTATCTTTTAGAAACACATTTGGTCTTGTAACTAAAACTCACCCTGGAATTCCTGCATGTTTATGGTCAATTTAACACTCAAACACATGACCTTAAACCTACAGTTACCTGTTGATGACCCTGCGGTGCACAGCTCTCAGAACCTTCAGCCTCTCCTCACACTCTTTAAGAAACTTGGGCAGTCTTCGTCGCATCGCTCCATCTGTGGAATGCTCTTCATGGCTCCTCCTCCTCTCTCCTCTCCCCTCTTTCCTCCTCTTCTCATCGGCCTTGTCCAGCACCTTCAGCTGCTCCCATGAGGCTTTGCACAGAGCCTCCAGCTGAGTGAGGTTGGACTGGACCAGCGAGTAATCACACTTTAGAATGAGAAAGTAGAAACTATCTTTTATTTGAATTCATTTTACATCAGCAAATATATATATATATATATATATATATATATATATATATATATATATATATATATATATATATATATATATATATATATATATATATATATATATCTACTTGTCTATGGATGTTCTTATTTTGCCCGTAAAGTTCCACAGTATGGTATTAAAATAGAAAGAAAGGTTTAATGGCAAGTTTGATGGAGGATTCAAAACTTGAAAAAGCGGTAAAATCTTGAAAATTTAAAAAACTAAGTGTATCCTTTACCAGAAAAGTTACACAATGCCCCTTTAAATGAAAACTTCTAAACATGTATTAATCTTGACATGATACAGTACAAGACATGAACAAGGGCAAAGTACTGACCTTTCCTGCTCTGGTTACTGAGGTGATGTCAGAGAAGAAGTCCGAGGATTGTGGGTAAATCTGGGTGAGGAGGGAGCAGACGTGATGGAGGAGCGGCTGTCGGGAGTGAGTGTCTCTGACCTGAGACAGTTTCCCCAAGTAACTCAGTTCAAAGCCTCGTGCCTGGAGGAAGAGACAGGACCAGAATCTGAACTAGTGTCAACTTGTCTTTAAAGGTCCTATACTATACTAAATGGATTCTTTTAATATACAAATAAATAAATAGCAACAAAAAATATACTTACCCCAACTTGCAAAAAACTGTGTCTTGAGTATCTTCTCATTTTAAGAATCAGTTTATTAGAGTGAAGTGGCGCCATCTTGTGGCAAAGAAGGTGCATAAACTAAAACTATAATTTGGTACAATGGACCTTACACTAGTCCCCATGTTCTGCTCCCTGTTTTGTTGTGCCATTGTATTTATATTTTGCAGCTAATGTTGTCACCATTCTCTGGGGGTCTGATGCTAACCGTAGGCACTGCTCTGTCTGAAGTTCTGTTTGTTAAACTTAAATCTGAGTTTTATTTTAATACAATTTGACCATAAAGGACTGATTTAGAAAGTATAACAGGTGAGCAAACAAACTGCAAATATTATCTTCTATTCAAACCGCACACTCACTTTGCATCCGTTGAGGAAATTCCCGATGGCCAAGACAGTGGCCAGGCATCTGAAGGTGGCGCTGCCCGACAGCTGCTCCATGGCCAGTTTCAGGTGAAAAAGAGGCTCTGCGATTTCCTGTTTACATAAAATAAATGATATACATGTTTGCTTGTTTCAGTGGCTAAACAAATAGATAAAAGAGTGGTGAATAAAAAGTACAAAAATATTTGAGGAAACTTGTTAATCAAGCAAGAGTAGTAATGTAATGAGTAATGTGTACAGAAGTTTCACAATGTCAGTTTCAAAATGCTTTAAAACATAACAAATGCTTGTTAATAATGACTTTTTAATTTCCTTTTAAACTCGATGTGTATCTCTATGTGAGTGATGTACCTCATCATCTCATACATAAATAATAGCAAATAAATCAATCATCAATCAAACACAAAATTGCATTTGATGTGTCAGTGCAAGTTTCAAATAATTTGATATTGTCAAGATACAGCTTTGTCACTTGTAGTATAAACAAAACTGTTGTGTTTAAGTGTGAAGTGAGTTAGTAGGAGCACCATTTGAAAACTACTGCAATTTAAAAGATCGCAAAATAAATGTACTTGAGTAAATTGAGTAAGAACACGCCACACATCTGGTTGGACAACTCGAGAAATTGGGTACATCATCTTTATGTTACTTTAGTTGTGTTGGGATTTACTCTCTCCATGGAGTCGTAGTCGAGAGCAAAGGCCCAGAGCTGGAGCCTGGTGTTGAGGTGAGGCAGCTCCCCCAGGGTGAGGAGGCACTGCTCAGCCGGAGCCAAGGGGCACAGGGGGGTCCGGGCCTGGGCCTCTTTTATCAGACACATCTCCTCCTCTGTGGGCACAATGCTCTGGAGACGCTGGGACAGGAGTGAAGGTTACCAAGCTGAAGCATCAGTTCCACCACAAAAATAATTGTGTGTCCAGACATTTGAATAGGACGTGTTATTTAAAATCAACTTTTATGATCATGAACCACATTATAGTAGTGTTCCCTCATCAGTGGGTGAAGTGTCTTGCCCAATGACACGAAGACATTGTGCATCCCTTCATATTAAGCTCTGTTACCTGTAAGTCCTCGCGGTCCAGTACGCTGTTGTCCATGCTGTAGATGGCGGGCGGCAGGAGGCGAGGAGGGGGCAGACTGCTCAGAGCGATGGTCACGATGTTTGAACGTTTCACCCCCAGAACGCACACGCACGGCTGCTTCTGAGGACACAAAAACACTGTGTTTAAACAAATACAACTGTGCAAGCAGCACTGGGACCTTGTTGCTGATAGTGATCGTAACGCAGACTGGCAGCCTTGCTTCTGTCACTCTGCCCCAGGGCAGCTGTGGCTGCAATAATAGCAAACCATCACCAAGTGTGGCGTGAATGAATAATATAATGTAAAGCACTTTGGGCATTTTGAAAGGTGCTAACATACATTCAGTGCATCATTTTTATAATAATGTGGGTGTATGATGCTAACTGGAGGCACTGCTCTGTCTGAAGTCCTGAAGTGTCTGAAGTTACTCAAGTTAGATTTTAATCTGCACTTTGTTTAACACAGTCGTTAACTTAACTCATTATAGGCACCTAAACAGAACCATGAACACCTGTATAGATGACAGTTAGTCTGATTTCTTGCTTTGTTTTTGTTGCTTATTCATCAAACAAAACAAAAAACAATTATCTTTTCTTTCTGCATCTCACTCTGATTCCATCACAATAGATCCAAGCTTATAACCTGGCTATCTTAAACAACTGCAGTCTATGTTTACCGTGAGATGTGTTGTCGCTAAAAAAAGAGGAAACTGTAAACATGTTCATTGTTTTCAATCATCTGATGGACAGATTCTGATTATCTGACCTTCTGTGCACAAGTGACACTGAAGCTGGCCCCGCCCCTTTTGCTCTCAAACAGATACTCCAGTCTGTTGGTGTCCACCTGCACCGGCTCTAGTCCCGCCCATATGGTCTCCGCCCCAAAGCGTGTGAGTCTGGGCAGGGCGGGGAGGACTCTGCAGCGCCCTCCAGTGTAACTTTAGGGTGTTTCCCTTATCCAAGGATGGGACAGGGACGGGAGGGGGCAGAGGAGGAGGAGGTGGTGGAGGAGTGGGAAGTGAGAGCCCTCTGGAAGTATCGCACTGCAAAAATAAATTATGAGTTAGAATGACATGCATTGGGAAATTGTTTATTGTTAAGACATCTGCAAGTTAGAAAGTTGCAGTTATCAAATTGCAAAATACAACTTAATATAATGTTGTGTTTTGTTTCATACAAATGTTTAGTTCTTCTCTGTTTCACCTTGTGATGTCTTGTCATAATACAGGAAGTTCTCCACTGTGTTTATTAACTCCATACCATTTAACTAGCATAATTTGTAAACATTTCAGCTCTTAAATTGACAATCTCTACACAACAGAAAAAAGTAGCCGTTAACTTGAAGACGGTGGAACAGAGCATTTTGAGCTTTGGAGATATAAACAGACTAATAATAAATAGTTACTCAAATGTGTGAATGACACAAAACTACATGTATGTTTGTGAGGAGGTAACACCATTCTAACATGACATAAAGCACACAAGAGCCAGTTTTGTGTAATATAGGAGTTTTAACTGTTTTGATAGTAGACTGACCGGTGGGCAGCTCTCCTCTTCGGTGCTGTCCTCTTCATCCCACAGGTCGGTGAAGTCCAGAGCGTTCAGACGGAGATGCACAGACGGACGGAGGAAGTCCACAGTCTGCTCAAAATCCCAGCTTAAGTTCAAGTCTCTGGTTTGGTCTGATTCCTTCATTGTCTTAAAGTATACTCTGTACTTCAAAATGCAACCTATGATTTTCAGGGTCTGATGGAAGACACAACAACAAATATTTTGTTAAAAAAAAATCTAAAAATGTCCAAAAATGTCCTTGTCTCTTGGTTCAGCTTTGAAATAGTTTTCTTGATCAATTTCCTTTGTCCTATCAAGTCATCTTTGGAACACAACAATTGCCTTGAATCATCACCATCTGTTTTCAAATTTCACTTGCAATTTTTAATATCTTGCTTTTAAAAATGTCCAAAATTTACCTTAATTTCAATATGCAGTTTTGAGATTACAATAAAAAGCTTCTTAGTCAAGCTATTTCCAAACAAAAGGGAACCTTAATTTAATATTTTGAGCAGTAATATTCTCTCACAAAATTGGGTAACACCCAAACCAAAAATTATTCTTGAAGTGTTTTTCTTTGTTGATGCTTGGTTGATTTTAGATTTTTTTTCTTTTTTCTTTTGGTCAAGTAAAGTCATAACTTACATACATATCTTTCTAAATCTTCACCTTGTTCTCAAATTTTACCTATCAATTTTCATTTTCTTCTTTAAAATTCTCTCCAGCTTGGCATTCATTAAGTTTAATCCTTGGTATGCAGTAAAAATTTGCACAAAAATCTCAGATCTTCCTTCTTCGCTGCTGTCATCTCAGAAATGTTCCATGGAATCTCTTCTCCGTTTCTTTGGCAACCACAAAAATGCCGAGATCACACGTTCAAACTATTTATTTTCTTTGCACTGCCACTACCAAACCTGTAATTGTCCTGCATTCAAATCTACTGTCCTTTTCTAGGCCAAAAATAGTTGTTGCAGCCTTCTTCGTCTTCTGATTGTAGAACACTGCACAGTTGAGACATTTGTTGATTTGTCCATTTGTTAATCTTGGTCGCGCCCTTTCCTTCATTACATTACCTTATCAAAGTAGCATCTCTTGTTTGTATTGGGGCTTGGGTTTACAGTGCTGTATCTGTCTGAAAATCTGAAACTTCCTCTATTTTGAACACATTAAACATAATTATTTCAAACATCTTGCCTATTTTTTTGTGGAGTTTAGCTATAATTTTACTTTCTGGTTGGACATGGGCAGCAACGGTTACCAAGCAAGCTGGAAATTGCACGACAGTTATAATTCAACCAATAAATAAAATAACAACGCTTTTATTTATTTTGCTAAATCAGAGTGTGTAGAGTTCAGGAATTTTGGATAGAATTTCCGTGTTGATTCCTTTGCTGTATTTTTGTACTTTTCTTATTTCTTTTCCCCCACAAACTGCCACATAACTGATGTAAAACTGTGATAAATATTTACCACAAGTACTATCCCACTTAACTTTAAATAATAAGTAATAATTAGAAAGACCTGAATACCTGCCTTATAAATTTTAATCAGCTGAGAGCAAACACATAAATAAGTTCATTTCGAATCTCACTAAAAAGACCAAAACACAGCCAGAGCCTCCAGCGCTGTTCAAAGTTTCCTGGTCATGGGTTATTTAGCGTGTGGACGTGCTGCAGTGGTCAGTGCAGTCTCTCTCTCTCTCCTCCTCCTCTCTGGCCCCTCCGTAATGACTCTTATCAGGCACAGGCAGCAACACAAGTCCCCAAGGATGCTTCAAAAGAGATGAGTTTGAAATTATTATTGCTAAACATTCTTTGTTTGTGTGTCTCTGGTTAAAAAAAAATAATAAAAAAATAAAAAATGCATACAGTGTTGAGAGCTGCTTCAGTATAATGTGAATTTTGTATTTTGTGTGAGCAGGTATTCATCACATTGGGGACTAAAATCTGTACACATTCATTTTGTATTATGGAGCAAAATTCAGATCCCCATGAAGCAAATCCTTTATTACTATAGTTTAGATCCGGGTTAAAATAAGTTCACTGTGGTTACAGGGGCAGTCACCACCCCCACCCCCAGTCCTCACTGGTTTTCGGTCGGGGGGGAGACCCAGGAGGGGGTCTTGCCCAGGGTGCCCATCTGTGTAGGATCGGCACTGTATGATTATTGGGGTCAGCCTCCAGAAAATGAATGGAAGATTATGTAATGTCTGTCAGCTTCTCCTGGAGGCGGCCTGAAAAGAGTCTTAAAAGAGAGTCCATAAGAGTTAAAGTAGTTCACAGACATGTCTCTTTATTGGCTCCAGTAGGTACAGGTCTCAGTTAATTTACATGATTTCCCCCCCCAAAAAAAAAAAAAAAAATTGACTGAGGGTATAACTGTTTTTTGCAGGAAATTCACAGTAATGTTGACCCAGACAGTGTTATCATAGATTGGCATATGTTACAGAGATCAGACACTCCCCGTTTATGTCTCATATACATCACAAAGTCCATCATAACACGTGCCAACCTCATTGACACTTTAAAATTCAGACATTGACTTCTCTTTATGACACATGTCAAAGGACATTACACAGCTTCCATATTGCATGGTGAATTAACATGAATGAAACATTAAAAACACAGAGAATAATTCTCACATGTCCAAAAAAAAAAAAAAAAAGCTGTTACATAATAAAACAATAACATTTTAAAGATGATGTCGATAAAAATTGCGTACATGCCAATATATGCTAAATGATAGTAAAAGATAGTTTAATGTCATACTGTGGAAATTTGATAACATCTTTGTGGAGATAATGTATACTGTGGGTGGTATACTGTAGTGCACCTTTATGTTTACAGTTATTGTGCTGCAAATCTGGGTGTCTGGTGTAATGACTCGTGTATTTTCAAGCACAGTTTTGATATTATTTGAAAAGTTATACTCCTTTATTTTGACACTCTCAAACGGAAGTCTCTCTTTCATTCTTCAATTCCGTGGACGCGCGTCTGGTCCGGCCGCGCGCTCCCGCCTCCTCTCTGTCTCTGCTCGTGCCCGCGCAGTCTCTGGTCGCGCTCGTTCACGTCTCGCCGCCGCGGATCCGCTGCTGCTACGATGCCCCACATCCACCACCATCACAACAATGTCCATCAGTGCGAAAAACGTCACCTTTACGACGCTTTTTACACGCATTTTACACGTTCGGACGGGATGCGTTTGAGGTACGTTGTTTCGGTTTCTATTCCCCGACCATCCTGCAAAATCGTTACACTTTTTTATCGGTGAAAATATGAATCAGCAGCACCGTCATTCATGCTCATCCTCTCGTAATGTCACAAGTTCCGTCGGATGCCCTGGGCTTACGTAACGTGGCGAGTGGTGCGGACGTAATGATGTTTTAGACCCAGGTTTTGTTAATATATACGACTTCGCTACACGGATTATTGTGGTGATACGTCTGGGATTCGTCTGTGCATAAAGAAGAGACGTATAATATAAAAATTCGCGTTAAAATAAAACACCTTTATCACGTAAAGTGGACTGGACAAGACAAGTTCAAAGCCTCGTGATTGGTGAAGAAAAAACTGATATTATGGAAAACAAATTGAACCAAATTGGGATACTTTCAGACATGTCCTGGTTTGGTCCTGGTTTGAGTCCAGTTTAGTTCTAATGTAGACTTGGTTTGGTCCTGGTTTAGTTTCATATATTGATTTATATTGATTAATTTGGGAGGCTATACATTTCCTTTGCTGTATAATGCAATTCAGACATGATTGCTATCCTTGTACAGTGTCTGTCTAGAAATTATATGTTGGCTAAATTAAAGGTACACTGTGTAACTTTTCCGGTAGGGGGACTGGTTGGTGTGTTTATTGCTCAGGCCTATTAAATACCTTGAGAAACATGTATTCTTACCGTGAGCATACTTGCCTCACAGATCTGACCTGTCACTTGGTCTGGTGGTGTTATCTGCTTGTCTCCATGAAAATATATACTTTTAATGTAATACTGTGGAACCTTAATGCAAAGTAATACCATCTCCATGGAGACAAGCAGGTGCTGCACCCTCAATAGTGCACCTTTAATGTAATAAGATTGAAAAGGCCATACATTTTGAGCACATTTTCTTGTGTGTGTTTACTAAAATGTGAGGCTTTATTTTATTCATACCTAATGTGCCTATATATTGTAATATATTATAATAATTTATGACATTTGTCTCTATTGCCTTGCCCTTATTAAATATCAAATATCAGGCATTAAGATTTCAATAATAAAAATTTATACAATCAAAATATCAGATTCAAATAGGGTTGGGTATCATTCAGAAGTTGCCGATACGATACATACCTTGATACATAGGCCACGATATGATACAAACAGTATGTCGATACAGTGAGCTTACGATTCAATGCTATTCAGTATGATATATTTCAAATCAATTCAATACAGTTCAGTAAAAAAAAAAGGCTAAATCATGGCTGTAATACTAAAAGTCTTTGTTAAACCACTTCTTGTGTAAAGTTCACATGAAACACAAACATTTTAATCATCAAAACAGTGGAAATGTCAAATGTGTCGCATAAACAAGTTTCCTTCCACTAAACAAGCAACAAAACTGTAGCTCTGTTATTTAGTAAAATATACTAAAAAATACTCTTGGAGATATATCAACACAGGAGCCCACAATATTGATACTGTATCATCACATTAAACGATATGATATATATTGTCTATGATGAGAACACTAAAAAAGCACGAAGAGCAGCCTGGAGAACAGCCTTACCTGATCTGTGCCTTGTGTTTGTTACAGGTGTGTGAGTGCGTGAGAGGTCGGGGGTCATGGAGAGGTCAGGGGTCATGCTGAGGCGGGAATCGGACTCACGTGGTTTATTTTCTTCTGGAGACACGTCAGACAATGACTATGAGGTGAGGTGTTGCTATGACTATTTATAATAGAAATTTAAGGTTATTGCAATAACTTTTAAGTAGATAATTATATTGAAACATCATGCAACATTAGTTTACTGCAGATTTCATCAAGTAATCTGATTTGATGATATCGTTTGAAGGTTCTATATTACACAAAATTGACTCGTGTGAGCTTTAAGATATGTTAGAATGTTGTTACTTTCTCAAAAACATACCTGGAATTGTGTTTTGGTTCATTCACACATGTTTGAGTCCTAATAATGGAAATTCCAGGTCTGAAATTATCCAAATGTGATGAGGAAACATCATAATATAGTTCAGAAAATAGCGTAATAATATACCCTTTAAACCCTTATTTTGTTCTTGTAACTCACTGGTTTAAAATCTAAATTTGTGACAATCTTATGCCCCGATAATCTTGTGTTTACCAATGCAAAATATTTGGACAAATAGTGTTAGGTTACTCCACACATGCAACATTTGAACTTTGAACATATTTCCACTATTAAAACATGAATAAGCCAACCAGAATCACACTTTTTGACAAAACTTTACAAAGATGAGTGGATCTGAAGCAGAGGGTGTGATTGACAGGTGATGTAACCAGTCAGAGAGGTTACCTGTATATATTTTCAAAAGGAGACGTGTTCTAAATGAGCAGCAGTGGTTGGATCGTCTTAAGTTAGGACAGTGGTTTTTCACGCTCTGTGGTCCGGTTCCAGACCCTTCTGGACTCAAACAGAATGTAGAAGGGACTGGCTGATCAGGCAGGTGTATAAATGTATGTGTGCAAATGGGTGAGTGGTTCCTTCATGTAAAGTGCATTGAGTGCCTTGAAGATGGAAAAACACTGTATAAAAATGTGACCATGATCATTTCTCACAATAAATACCACTTCATTATTACACACAGTTACTGCATATTGCAGGTTGAAGACATAGGTACAATGCAACACGATTTCTCCTCCAAGGCTGTGCCTGCTGCAGGAGTGACTAACACAGTGTGAATGGACAGTGAAATCAGTCATCATGATTATTGCCTATTGTTTATCTTTGTCCCTGAGCCTTTATGTAATCATCTTCATCTTAAATATACCTGAACTATATGAGTCATACTGTATAGTTCAATATCTACGCAAACACCTCACCTTGGAAAAGCACAACCTATAGAATCCAGTGACAATGTGATCTCATGGTGGAAGTAATGCATCATCATCAGTGTCAAATGGAGGAGAAGCAAAAATAGAATATACAATAGAGAACATTAGAGCTAGAACGTTAGAGCTACATTAAAAGGCCCATATTACTCTATTTTCTGATCGTTGTAATGTTTCCTCATCACAAACATACCCAGAGTTGTGTTTTGTTTCATTCACACAAGTGTAACGCACAAACTGCTTATTTCTTGAGTTCCTCTCTCAAACAGAAAACACTCTGTTCCACCTTGTGATGTCACATGGTAAAACAGGAAGCGCTCCGTTATGTTTTTAAACTGCACACACCTTCAATAGAAACATTTGGATAATTTCTGCCCTGGGATTGACAATGTCTACTGAACAAAATGTAAAAAAAAAAAGAAATAAAATCTACAGCTTCATGACATCACAAGGTGGAACAGAGGATTTTGAGCTTTGTGATAGAAAACTCAAAATACAACAGGTATGTTTTGGAAAAGGAAAGTACAGTATAACATAAGATCAGAGTTTTGTTTAATATAGGACCTTGGTTATAATAAAAACATGGAAATGATCTAAAGTTACATTATGGAGCTTTACTGGAGGGGGATCTGCCACCTGCTAGTTTTCACAGAGATTTTAGCTTTAGCTGTACTGGTGAACATCCCAGCCAAAGCAACAGTATCTCCATGGAGACGAGGAGGGGTGAACTTTACGTGAAAAAAATGTGGTTCCAGATCTAAGACAAATAATTATATGATTTGTTTGTGGATTTAAACTGAAAAACCAAAGAATTCCTCCACTATAGTTATTACAATTAATGAGATGTTGGAAAATTGTAAGAAAGTTTTTGCGTCGACCTTAATGTGAGTTGTGTGTGGTTGTTTCAGATGGGTGCTGGCTGTGGAGGGGTGGAGGGGGCCTGTCTGTGTGACCCCAGCCCCTGTACACTGTATTCAGAGGCCCACACCCCCACACCACAGAGGCCCTGGAGAAATGCTGCAGGAGAGGTTTGTTCAAGTCCTGGTTTAGTCCTGGTTTAGTCTTGGTTTAGTCCTGTACTCAGAGGCCCACAACGCCACACCACCTAGGCCTTGAATACAGTAAATACTACAGGAGAGGTTTGTTCAAGTTCTGGTTAAGTCCTGACTTAGTCCTGGCTCAGTCCTGGTTTAGTCCTGGCTTAGTCCTGGCTTAGTCCTGGCTTAGTCCTGGTTTAGCCCTGGTTTAGTCCTGGCTCAGTCCTGTTTTAGTCCTGCATTCAGAGACCCAGTCCCCTACACCTTAGAGGCCCTGGAGAAAAGGCCCTTGAAAAATACTGCAGGAGAGGTTTGTTCAAGTCCTGGTTTTGTCCGGTTGTAGTCCTGACTTAGTCCTGGTTTAGTCCTGATTTAGTCCTGGCTCAGTCCTGGTTTAGTCCTGGTTTAGTCCTGTATTCAGAGGCCCTGGAGAAATGCTGCAGGAAAGGTTTGTCCGGTTGTAGTCCTGACTTAGTCCTGGTCTAGTCCTGGTTTAGTCCTGGCTTAGTCCTGGCTTAGTCCTGGTTTAGTCCTGGCTTAGTCCTTGTTTAGTCCTGGTTTAGTCCTGGCTTAGTCCTGTTTTAGTCCTGTATTCAGAGACCCACGCCCCCACACCTTAGAGGCCCTGGAGAAAAGGCCCTTGAAAAATACTGCAGGAGAGGTTTGTTCAAGTCCTGGTTTAGTCCGGTTGTAGTCCTGACTTAGTCCTGGTTTAGTCCTGTATTAGTCCTGGTTTAGTCCTGTATTCAGAGGCCCACAACACCACAACATCTAGGCTTTGAATAAATACTACAGGAGAGGTTTGTTCAAGTTCTGGTTAAGTCCTGGCTCAGTTCTGGTTTAGTCCTGTATTCAGAGGCCCTGGAGAAATGCTGCAGGAGAGGTTTGTTCAAGTCCTGGTTTAGTCCTGGTTTTGTCCTGGCTCAGTCCTGTTTTAGTCCTGTATTCAGACACCCACGTCCCCACACCTTAGAGGCCCTGGAGAAAATACCCTTGAAAAATACTGTTATAATATTGTTCAAGTCCTGGTTTAGTCCTGTTGTAGTCCTGGGTTAGTACTGGTTTAGTTCTGGTTTAGTCCTGGCTTAGTTCTGGTTTTATCCTGGTTGTCCCAGCTCAAAATCTCATGGTTCAAAGTTCAGTATGGAGGCCGAGTGGCTGGCAGCACTCTCACCTCACAGCAAGACAGTTCATTGTTCATCTCCTGTGTGGAGTTTGCATGTTCTCCCTGTGTGTGTGTGTGTGTGTGTGTGTGGGTTTCCTTTGGGCAGTCTTTCAACCCAAAACATGCAGCATAGGTCAAATCCTCCAACTATGGGTCAAATGCAGAGAACTGTACCCTAAGTAAAAAGTCCATACAAAGTCTTACATGTGTATTTATGGTATTTTTCTGTGGTTGGTAAAAAAAAAAAAAATCCTATAATCCACATATAATCAAAGTTCAATATTTAGTGTTGGAGTTTGTTCTGGAGTAAAAGTTGTATTTTTTGCTTTTTCAGGAGACATTTCTTTGCGAACACTGTGGAAAAAACAGAAAAATTATGACGAGGTACTCGGAGGGATACGGCACAGAGGTACTGTGAAATAATGCAGCTCAATAGGAAATTTTCATTCATGTTATCATCTTTTTAGACAAACTAAATCTAAAGCTTGAAGAATGACCAAAACCTTTACTCAAGTAAGAAAACTAAGACAGTGCACAATATACCCTACCAGCAGGCCCACTGACAGATATTTGGGGCAAGAAGCCTCATATGAGCCCCGCTCTAATGTTAATTAATTAATAGGCAGAGATTCCAATTCCAAATCCAAATTCAACTAACTCTTTTGTTCCACTTCAACTCCCCTGCTACCAGTCAAAAGTTTGGGCTTTTTGTTTCTTTTTTCTTAATACTTTCTGCATTTGATATACATAAAGAAAATACCAAATATATGAAGTAACATATATGGAATTATTTAGTAAAGAAAAAAAGTTAAATAACTCTAAATACATTTTAGAATAAATAATGTAGTTGGGTTATTTAACTTTTTTCATTGCTACATAATCCCATTCATCTTACTTAACATATTTGATGTCTTCTGTATGTATATCAAATATAGAAAGTAGTAAACATATAGAAAAAAACATCAAATGACTCCAGTCTTTTGACTGTCAGTGTATTGCTCAAGCAGGAGTAAGTATGGTATTGGAAACTTCCAAAAGTACTAATTTAAAAGTTAGTTAAAAGTGCATTGTGCAACTTTTCTGGTGAAGTCAAATACTTTTCTCCATGGAGATGTTATTGCTTTATCTGGAATGTTTAAACCTTTCTTCATGGAGACCAAACCATTCTTAAGACTTCCACAGACGTCCTTTTTAAAATGTTGTACTGTCCCTTTAAGCCCGCTCTCCAGCCCCATAACACACAGGCCTATTACATTGCCTGTGGTCTATTTGTGGATTAGCAGGGCACCTTAATATGAGACCTCTATTAAATGATCCAAGCATTTCTTAAAGTGTACTTGACAGGTTAGACTACTCACTTCAATAAAACATAAGTTGATATAATTATATTTAACATTTAACATCGTTTTTTTTATCTGTTTGGTGAAGTTTATAATTTTACTTGATTACATATGCAGAGGTAACCTTGCAACCAAAATGTTAACAAGGGTCAAAGCTCTTAAACTGCCTTCACTGCACATAAAGTGTCCCTGTGTTTTTGATGGACTTTAGGTAGAGTTTTTTGTTGTTGTTGTTGTTGTTGTTGTAGAACACACCTCTATTTCCTGTATTTTTCTGAGACTTAACTACTAAAACTATGTAAAGTATGACAATGATTTACCACAGGCATTGTCCCACCAAACCAAGTAATAATTAGTAAAAACATGAAAACCTGTCATCTGCACTTTAAACAGATGATAGCCAAAAACAAATGAATATAAAACCACATTTGAGTCATTTGTGTGCTTATTGTGTATTATTAGAAGGTGAAGCATGTGTGGTTAGATTAGAAGGAACATTCAAATACAGACATATTGTGACTGTTTCTGACACATGGTGCTACAGAACAGCTAATGATGATTCACAGGGGACTATTTTGGATAAATAGAACATCACCTTCTGAGTAATCATGTTAATAACTATTATACTGCGATATTACGATGATTAATACAATTACTAGGGATGAAATGAGATCATTTCCAACAGATGAAATACATGACTGAAAGGTTTGACAGGAAGAAGAAAAGATGAGATTTTGATAATATTATAATGATTAAATTGTTCGATTTGGTTTAGATTAGGCCTCACAATTCTATTATTTATTTTATTTTATATTTTATATTTTTGTTGTCATCTGATTTTTAGAACTACGGCTTCTCCAACTTAACCCTTTTTTGTCTAATACAAATATAAACAGTTAATTTTACAGTGCTTTCTTGTTTTACTTACTACACTTGAATTTAAACGACCTTCACTAGAACATTGTTTAGAACGTTTTTTTTGTGTAAATTTTTTTGCAGGAGGAGTGTGGCTTGTCAGATCCTCAGGGCGACAGTGATGCAGACGCTGATATAGAGGACACAGACAGCAGGCAAGTCTAAGGTCCCATCCACACTAGTATGTATTCGAGTTGTTTTCGTTGTGGATGCAGTGTTCGTAGGAGATCTAGTTGCGTCCTTATTGAACCACGTCACTGTGACTTGTGTCTTCCTGATTCACTGGGTTTGTGACACTGGTCATGTGATGCTATTGCGGAAAACAGTTTAAACAAACCACAGACAAACGGGAAACAGCGTAGCTAAAACTACTTGCACAGAACAGACTCACCAATAGCAGAACACCCCTCTGTCACAGAAAGCACACATATATTCCACTTTTAGTCTGACATAAGCTGAAAGTGTCAGGACACCAGGAGCGAACAGTTTTTTGAGCGCTTAGTTTATGCAAATTAGCCATGCGGTTTTAAGTTTTGTTTCTGTAGAACGTAAATAAATATGCACAAAGTTGTGCGGATAGGGCAGGTTTGCAGACACAGAAACAACGTGTCTGGATGCAAATCGTTTCCGATACAGTGATGCATTGATTCGTTTCAGTGTAAACGTAACCTAAAGCTTATTACAAAAAATTTACTCTTGTGAATTAATCCATGTTATAATGTTGTTACTTCATCAAAAACATACCCAGAGTTGAGGTTTGTTTCACTCACACATGTTTGAGTAATCCTGGTTATTAGTCTGTCTAAATCTTCAAAGCTCAAAATGCTCTGTTCCACCTTGTGATGTCATGTAGTGGTGGATATCAAGTTAACAGCTACATTTTATCTTTAGTTCAGTAGAGATTGGTAAATCCATGGCTGAAATCGTCCAACCTGTAATACTCTCTTTAAATACACAGCTGTCATACACACATTGGTTGAGTATGCTTCTTGAGGCTGTGTTCTGATTGGTGCAGACTGCAGGAGCCCGGGTCTCTGCAGCGAATCAGCTCTCGACGTCGGAAGCGTCCAAGAATCGCGCGTCAGGACACGACCGAGAGCGAAGACGACGGTGGCCATAGCAACCGCACGCACCGCTGGAACCTACGCCTAAGCCCCGCCCACAGCCGACCCATCCTGGAGGTGAGTGACTCTGACTTTACTGAGTAAATGTGGAAAAACAGAACTAGTTCACTTTAAACCGTTTGCAAAGGTCCAAAGTTATTCCACAATTACCTTATGAATTCAGAACATCCTAATTAGTCACTGTGATGAGTTTAAAAACAACTTTACAACTCTCCAGAGCAGAGTTTTGCATTGATGGTAAAGCTAACACACACTTCCTGATACTTTGCATCTGATATCGTCAACATTCCTTGGGGGTGTGAAGTTAACTGAGGGCACTGCTCTGTCTGAAACTCTGTCACTCAAATTAGACTTAGAATCAGATTTTTGTTTTCACACAGTCTACCAGAAAAAGCTGACTTAGCTGGAACTACTTTTTTTTTTTTTTACCTTTTTTGTTTGTTTGCAAATGTGTGCTTTTTGTCACCATGGTAACTTCTAAACATTCTGCCAAACAAATACATGCAGAACACCCCCACTGCGATATCAATCTTCCTACTAATTAGATATGGGCAGCACACAGCAGAGTGAAGAATGCATTTCACTTTCGTCTTGTGTTTTCCAGGAGAGTATCTCACAGGTGCGTCCCCTGATCATCTGTCGTCCGGGCGCAGACAGAGACGCCGTGATGGAGTCCAGACGATCCAAGCGGTCACTTCCTCCTCCTCTTCTTCTCCTGCTGCTCCTCCCACTCTCCCTCTCCGCTATCATAATCATGTCTTACCTTCTACCCTGGACAAGCGCTAGATGAACAGTTTAGTTTTTTCCTTTTTTCAGTTCAAATGATTTGGGTGATTTATATACAAAAAAAGCTGTGTTGATCGGGTTCTCATGCATACTGGAAAAGCCAAACCTACATTGGAGTTAACCAGGCCTTGGAATGGTCAAAATGTTAACTAATAACAGATTTTTTTGTGTGTCTTTTTTCCTAAATTTGTAGAGCCAATTCATAATTTCTTATTTTGTCTTTGGAGACTGTTAAATGTTTATCTATTTATACTGGCCCTTTAAAGGTACACCATGTAACTTTTCTGGTTGGCAGCAGACATGTTGTTGCCTTATCAGGAATGTATAACTTATTTACTTCTGTGGAGACAACATCACCAGGCTAAATTACAAGCCAGATGTGTTGAAAAGTGATGCCATTCACAGTTTTTTCTATTTATTTGATACGTTTTAATGCTGTGCAACATTCCGGCAAAACAATTACAGCTGCACAGAGACAAGCAAGTGACGGGGACCCTACTAGAAAAGTTAAATTGTGGACCTTTATTGGCTTAAACCTTTAACCTCCACTGGCTTACATAAGACATAATACTGTATGTTGTTTTTCTGGTATATTAATGTATTAAATGTATGTACTAATAGAAAGAGACTGCAAAATTAATACAGGGCTGTGGGTGGAGATAGGGGGTAGGTGAAAACAGGAATTTTCTAAGCACTCAATCTTAAAATGCAGGACAATTCAGGATTACCCAAACATACTTGAATCAATGAAATACAAGATAATAATGAGGAAAAGGTTAAACACTCATATAAGTTAATTTAACATAATACATTTCAATAAAGCTAACTTAGAGGTGTGTATATCAAACAATAATGAAAAATTAGGACTGTTGCCATAACGATTAAAACAAAACATGATATCTATGGAACAGGAAAAAAAAGCTCCCAAAAGTTGCATATAACAGGAAGCTGAAATCCATGAATAGTTTGTCTGAAGAGCAAGTAATAATCTGGGGCTAATCTGCATGTATTTTCCATATTTTGCAGTGTGCGTGGGAACTCTTTCTGAGGCCATTATAAGTGCTCAGTGATGTTCTTATGAAACCTGCTTCTCAGACTGTCTCTCACCCCCACAGCTGTATAAATAGACTGTTCTCTTCGTGCTATAGTTCTGATGGTGGGATTCAGGACAGGTAAATTTACACTGCAAAAAATACATGTTTAGATTAGCTAAAATGGTTTGAATTCAGGATTTTAATCTTAATTTAAGCAGCTATAATTGATTTACTTGAGTGGCCTTGATTACTTCTTATGACCTACTTTTATTTCAAATGTCACGCAAAATTACTTTGTAACCAGTAAGAAATGCCATGAAGTTAAAGGTGAACTATGTAACTTTTCTAATAGTTATTACTCATCTTCCTCCATGCTGTTATTGCTTTAAACTTGTCTATTATTTTTGCATGGTGTCACATTTGTATCTCTGTTAAGATAGAGAATTTAAATTCCATAATGTGAAAAATGTAAAGCAATAACATCCTCATGGAGAAAAGCCTCCATCAGACAAAGCTACTTAGTGCACCTTTAATATTCTATCCTAGGTAATATTCATGGGTTTGAGACAAGCAGCCCCTTCCTGATGCCTGAGCTCGAAACCGATGAATAAACAAGTAAAGCTAATCACGTCCAAACAACTGGAATCAAGAAATAATATCTCTGAATTCAAGTCATTTTAACAAAGGCTAAACATTTTTTGCAGTGTGTACAGTAAATACATTCTCAGATGGAAACTAAACCAAGATGCTGTTCGATCTATGCAATTTATGTGTGTTTATATGTTTATAAAGTCAGAGATGACTGGTAGTAGTTGTAGTAGTTGTACTAGTAGTAGTAGTAGTGGTACTTTTTGAAGAACTCGCTTTACAAAGTTGTAGTACCACACTATATGTTTATTTCTTATTACTTTTGAAGGCTTTTTACAAATTGATTTTACTTTATTTTGTGTCCCCAAATCAATATTCATTATTTTTATTTAGCAGTTTGACAGCTTTTTTAAAATCATATGTTTATTAATACTAAAACATAAATTATGTTATGTTTTAGTTATGTCCAGTTACTAAGTTACTCAGTTACTTTAATAGTACTTTCACCTACTGTACTTTTTTACTTTTCCTACTAATATTATTTTGAAAGAACATAGTGTAGTATGCGTCCTGGTGTCGGGGCACTTTATGTTAGCAGGCTCCTATAGTGAGTTTAAATAGAGCATGGCCCAGTTTATAAGCAATAGCAAGGGGAGGGCAGATAGCGCCTTCCTGTGGTCAATGATGTAAATAGCATCTAGTTTTAACAAATGTAGTGAACTTTAGGTCGCTACAGACTGCATTTTTTGTAACTATAATCCCTGGAGTTTAGAGTTCACTTGTTGTAACATGATGGACTTTAGGACTGTACAATATCCAAGAGGCTTACAGGTGCACCGTGTAACTACGTAACTGTAACTTATGGGGTATGAAGATGTGACTGCTGTGCCTGGTATGTTCCATCATAGGGCATTAAACTTATCCACCTTAGATTTGTTTCAATTAGGGCTGCAATTAATGATTCATTTAGTCAACTAGTCAGTGATCGCTCAGTGGACTCATCAAATGATTATTTCTATTGTACATTGAGACTTTTTCCGATTTATTTTTAACAACATAAAAGTTTAAATACAATGATGCAGACTTCTAGAATATTTCCAAATATTTACAAATTACAAATTGGTCTATTATTGCTGGAAATCAGATTTTTTTTTTTTAGACCTTTAATTATATTAGTCAGACTGGCGCCACCTAGTGCCTCCGCTCAATTTTATTTCTCTCCAGCAACTAGATCAGGAATTGGAATTCACTAGACGGTTCGGAAAAACCTTGGAAATGCGAGTTCGAGCACCAGCCAATCACCGAAAAGCCATACATTCTGTGTTGTCAACGATTCCAGAGATCGGGGATTTAAAGCTGGAATAAAGAGAATGTTTGGTGAATTTTATAAAGGGGAAAGACGTTATTGCCCTTCTTCCTACAGGATTTGGAAAAAGATTAATATAGCAGTTAGACCCGTTAATGGTGCATTACATACGTCATGACCAAATAGCAGCGATTGGTTAAATGATAAAAAGTAACCCTCTACCGTCGAGAGAACAAACTCTTAACAGTGCAAGGTTGATGAATCACGCTAAAATTATATATCCAGATAGTTCTAAAACTACTCTTACATTTTGATCTATATACAGTATGTTTGAAGCTTTTATTCCAATATAGATCTTGATTAGTTTTAGTGTCAGTTAGTATAAGAGTATTGATTTTTTGACAACGCAAACAAAAGTATTGGATATTGTTCTATCCCAAAGATTGAATATAGTGTAATTTATTTATGTATTATAATTTTAGTTTAGTTTTCATTAATAATAATAATAATAAAAAATCTCTAAATGCCACAGTACTAGAAAATAATAATATTAATCTTAAAAAAACAACAACAGAGCTTAACCTTTTATACAGATATATTTATGTTCATCTGGGGCTTCCGTGCTCACTACAGCAGTGCTTTCACATAGCAGAGCACGTGGGAATACCAGGACTTCAGCACTTCTCATTCACATTCTCTGCATATGTGCCCCGTCTCTATCCACACCTCTATATATCGCACAGCCCTCATTTACTCTAATGTCATCATGGTCATTGTGGAGGTCAAATAAGCTAAGAACGACAGTGCGATGAGGGACATTATAGACCCTTTAAAAATAACACTTTGCAGATGATAGGGGTGTGATGCTACCTGGAGGCACTGCTCTGTAAAATGTGTTAGACTTTAATCTGAGTTTTATTTTCACACAATCTGAGCAGGGAGCTGACTTAGTTGGAACTACAGGTGAGCTGATATGTGCTGTTAAACAAGTCTCTCACTTAAAATTATAGTTAGAGCTAGCAAGCCTGACCCGGCCAGCCTTTGTAGTTGAAAATCAAACTCCTAAACAGGACTATAAATGCTTTTATTGATCACAGGCTCCTGAAATTTGTTGTTAAAATGCATTTTGGAAGTTTCTTGAGTTTTAAGTACTTAAACCAGTTATTTATGGTTATTTGTGTTAAAATAAGGCTCAGATTAAAGTCTAAGAGCTTCAGACAGAGCAGGGCCTTCAGTTAGCTTCACACCCCCAGGGAATGTTGATGACGTGCAAAGTAGATACTGACTGAATGAATTCACAATGCACTTTTTGGGACTTTTGAATGGTACTGATATGAAAGTAATGGGCTGTTTATATATTTAATTATAGTTAATAATATGTCATACTCAATAGTAAACAATCTATTATCTTTTCTAATAATCATACTTAAAGATGCACTGTGCAACTTTTCTGATCGAAGGTCTTTCACCTACTTGTTTCCATAGAGATGTTAGTGCTTTACCAGGAATGTTTCATAATATTTCATTATACTCCTCTCCATGGAGACGAGCTCACATATATTTTTTATCTTTTGAAAACAAAAACACCAGTAAACAGATGAATGAATGAAAGGTTAAATGCCATACTGTGGAACATTTCAGGCAAAAGAATAACCTGTGGTGGCAAGCAAGTGGCACACCCATCAAACAGAAAAGTAGTGCACCTTTAAGATATTTTCTGTTGTTATTTTTAACAAAATAAATACAAAAACGATAATAATTCTCAGTGTTGAATATAGTTTAAAATAGAATTTCATAGCGATTTTCGTTCCATCATGAAACTATAAGGAACACAAGAGAAGAGTTTTGCAGTTTGCCTTGAAGAGATTTGCGCCTCAAATTCTGACAATCAATTTGTGCACAAAATTGCTGTTTAGAGAAAAATATATTTTATAGCAAAATCATGTTTTTCAATTGCAGTTTGTCATTGGCTTCTGAATCTCAGCACAATGGTGGTTTTAGGTTTTGATGTAATGTTAAAGGCGCTGTACCTGATTTTTAGTCTTACACAGCTTATATTATGTTATTTATCTGATGTAAGTTATAACATTGTTTCCTCATCAAAAACATACCCACAGTTGTGTTTTGTTTCATTTACACATTTTGAGCTTTGGAGATCTAGACAGACAGGATTTATCAAACATGTATAACCCCAGGTATATTTTGAGGAGGTAACAACATTATAACATGACTTAAAGCTCACAATTTTGCATAATATATGACCTTTAAAAACGTACTGCATACGCATTCTGAACATCTAAATTATTCACCATGATGAGTTTATAAGCACTTTTCTCAACTCCAGACCAGACTACAGTTAATGTCATACTCAGTGGACTTATTTTGCTCAAATACATGGGAAAAAAATTGGGTACAGGGCCTTTAAAGAAAGTCTGACAATCAATCCTCTTCATTGGAATTTATATTTTTCCGAATTTATGGAAAAAGCCATTCTGCGGTGTTCCATGTTTGTATATTACGGTGTTAGTTGTTGCTTGTTTTTACCTTGAATGTTGCCTGCATTGTTGTGGACATGTGTTAAGTCTGCGGTGAAATAATCCTCTAGAGGTGACTTGGCAAAGACAGTGGCCATCTTGTGACTGTAGGAAAAGAGAAATTTGAAGGAAATGAAAACAAAAAGATAGATTTGCCCAAAT